CTGATGGAATTATATTGTCTTACAGGCATTAGCAATGTGATGATCCACATACCGTAAAACACTACCCAGATGCTCTGTGACAGGTGCAAACACATGATCTGTCCAACTATAAAGATCTCTGACATCTATGGTCCACTGTGGTTCATCCTTTGGTCTCTTTGGATAACACTGGCTCACCCAAAGTTCACACAAGGTGTTTTAATACGTCCTGTGGTCTAAATGCATGATATTTTTTCATGCCTTATTCTGCTTTTTTTGGCCCTCTACTCTTCAGTTAATTGCTTTGACCTTCTCTTGTTGTCCGTACACTGTAAATTTTCTGTGAAAAGTTTCTTTCCACTAACGATTACGATACTTGGTATTATTATGAATACGTAAATATATCACCAGAATAAGTTAGGATGCTAATATTATGGCTCAATGTGTGATTTTGGCTATTTTAATTTGTGTGATATCATGGAGTACTTGGGTAGGGGAACTTGATTTCTCACTAAGAGGAGATAGAGCAGTTTTTCTAATAGCATATACCATATTTGTATTTTATTCACAAATATCACGTGAGGCAATCTCCTGTTAGCTTTTATTCACATTGTGGGATTCTGGAATATCTTTCCTGCCCCAAAAGTATCCACCAAGATTGACAGATCTGGCAGTGGCTTGGCATTTGTTTTTTCTAATGCATAAAAAATATGAAAGTTTTATTTCTTGAACTAATTGCATAAATAATAGACTACATAGCTTTATTCTTCTACATTGTCTGCTCTTCCTATCTGTCATGAATTATCATGAATTTGAATTTCAGACTTTCTGTTTACGTCTGATAACACTGCCCTTGTATATACAAGTTAACTATTAATACAGAGCTACAATTCAAATATGAAGAGCCCAGTTAATATAAGAGTACCAAGAAGAGCTTAGCAACCACCCCAGGTGCAATTTTGCAGTCTGTAAACTAGAACAAATGAATTGTACTGTTGTATCAGACTGTGAATTAAGTGCCACATTACAAAGGTTTGCTATCAGACAAAAATACCCAGTACCTCTCCCTGCGCTCAGAAAGTGCAGAACACACAAACCCTGTGATTAAGAACGGTAAATGCCAGAGCAGCTAGAACATCATCATAGGGGGAGCCCTACTGGATGAGCAGTGACTGAGGGGACATGAGACAGCACATCACTGTCAAGAAAGTCTGCAGTGCTCCTGGCTTTAGAACTGTGCCCATCCTCATGTCTCCACAGTACTGATCACATATTGAACTTGTTCATAAAGAACTAACCTGTACTCTGCTTAACATTTTTTTTGAACTGACATTTTCAGGTATTACCCAATGCAAGCCAGCCTTTACACTCTATGTATTGCTGAAAGCAGCACATAGACTGTACGCAGGTTGGCAGCTCCTGTCACTTATGTCATTGTTGGGACAATCTCATTGAATTCAGTTTCTTAAGCAGTGAAGTTGAGGTGCTTCAGGTTCATTTTCTTATTTTTGGCAATAAAGCTCAAAAAACCCCAAGGCCAATTTTAAAATGGAAAAGAATTTCTTAATAATTGATTTTCAAATTATAGTGTAATTTGACAGGCATAAAAGTAAGAACCTACTCCATTTAGACCACGCAAAAATATCTATTGTCTGAGGTAGATCTTACCTTCCAGTCCCTAGGTCTGCGACATGGGACTAGCAGAGCGCTAGTAAGTTTGTGAAGTTGAGTTTCTTTTGATATAATTTGGGCTAAGATTTTTAAAATGGCTTCTAACTTTGGATCCCTTAAACATACCAGTTTGAGACATCAAAACAGACTCAATTTTTGAAAATGTAGGCCTTGTTCAACCTACCACACAACACCCTGTAGTTACTAATCATCATATGATGCTTCACCAAGAAAATAAAACATTTTGGCAATGTTTCAAGACATTCACTATTGAAAACATGATTTTTGGTTACCTAGTTTAAAACATTTCAAAAATCATCTGCACAAGTGTGAAGACACATAGCTCTGGATGAAATTAGTGAGATCTGCTGTATACTCTATATTTGTGGTGTTAATGCTCAAGTTGTCCTATACCAGTAGTACAAAATTGAATTATACCAGGCCTGTAGAATCATAGAACAGTTTGGGTTGGAAAGGACCTTAAAGATCATCTAGTTCCAACCCTTCTGCCATGGGCAGGGACGCCTTCCACTAGACTAGGTTGCTCAAAGCCGCATCCAGCCTGGCTTTCAACACTTCCAGGGATGGGGCATCCACAACTTCTCTGGGCAATCTGTTCCAGTGCCTCACCACCCTCAGAGTAAAAAATCTCTTCCTTAGATCTAATCTAAATCTCCCCTCTTTCAGTTTAAAGCCATTACCCTTTGTCCTGTCACTACACGCCCTTGTAAAAAGTCCCTCTGCAGCTTTCCTGTAGGCCCCCTTTAGGTACTGGAAGGCTGCTAGAAGATCTTCCCGGAGCCTTCTCTTCTCCAGACTGAAAAAGCCCAACTCTCTCAGCCTGTCTTCATAGGAGAGTTGCTCCAGCCCTTGGATCATCTTTGTGGCCCTCCTCTGGACCCGCTCCAACAGTTCCCTGTCCTTCTTATGTTGGGGGTCCCAGACCTGAATGCAGTACTGCAGCTGGGGTCTCACGAGAGCAGAGTAGAAGGGGCAGAATCACTTCCCTCGACCTGCTGGCCATGCTTCTTTGGGTGCAGCCCAGGATATGGTTGGCTTCCTGGGCTGCAAGCGCACATTGCCAGCTCATGTTGAGCTTCTCATCAACCAACATTCCCAAGTCCTTCTCCTCAGGGCTGCTCTCAATCCATTTTCCATGCAGCCTGTACTTCTGCTTGGGATTGCCCTGACTCGTGGGCAGGACCTGGCACTTGGCCTTGTTGAATTTCATGAGGTTCGTACAAGCCCACCTCTCAATCCTGTCAAGGTCCCTCCGGATGGCATCCCTTCCCTCTAGCGTGTCGACCACACCACACAGCTTGGTGTCATCAGCAAACTTGTTGAAGGTGCACTAAATCCCACTCTCCATGTTGCCGACAAAGATGTTAAACAACATTGGCCCCAATAGTGACCTCTGAGGAACACCTCTTGACACTGGTCTCCACCTGGACATCGAGCTGTTGACCGCAACTCTTTGAGTGTGACCATCCAGCCAATTCCTTATCCACTGAGTGGTCCATCTGTCAAATGTATGTTTCTCCAATTTAGACACAGGGCTGTTTGAAAACTTCTATCCGAGAAATTAGCAATGTTTAAATGTACTTTTACCCTTTTGACTTCTAATCTTCTCTAAAACTGGCCACTCTCTTTCTGTGTGTGTGTTTCTATTTCACATATCTCTAAAAATCAGTTTTTCAACTACGAGTAAAATTTAAAACTTTCCTAACCAAGTCTGGTGTGACTGCAAACAGTCAGTAAAAGCTTCAATCTACATATCTCAGTTTCTCTTTCATTTTGATATCACACAGTCGTATTCCTGACGCATTAAAACATCAAATAATTAAATTAGTTTGTAGAAGGGATACTCTAGAAAGGAAGCAGAATTCTGTGATCCTGACGTTTTCCAAACTGCAGAGAATGGAACTGGGAAAATTAGAGCAGCTGTGGTAAATGCAGGCTCAGATCTCATTCCTAAGCCCCTGTGCAGTGCAGTTGGTGATCTGGCTTGAGTGGAGCACTACCTGAAGTAATTTTGCAGGGATTGTGTTTTGAAGAAATGATGTTCTAGGATTAGAAAAAAGACTTTGAGCTGTAACTGTCTCCTTAAATTAGCTGTACGCCTTGTGGCACATACAAAAATTTTACCTGTTTGTCAAATGGATTTCAGTTGTTCAGTAAAGTTGGCTGAGTAGAACACTGGTAAGAGAATTTCTATTAGGAATCTAAAATCACCATTAAGGCTAAAAAACCAGCTGTAGATATAGGTGAAACTCTTCTGACCAGAAGAGTCTCACTCATGACCCTAACAGCAAAAGAATAATATATTGGAACAATGAAAGATCATGTGATTCCATCTGACTGCTTTCCACCAAACTCAAACATAATTCACTCCAGAAAAAAGAAACAAACCCCCAAAACATTAATAGCACTTGATGTTAATGTCTACAACAGTCACTTTCTCTGTCACTTCATTTTTCTGAAATCATTTAGTGTTAGGACAACTACTTACCTTGGTTGGAAGTTCTGATTTTTACTTTGTTTCCAAACTATTGGAATTTTAATACTGCTTAGATACTGGCAAATAAATAAATAATAAAAAACCCCTCACATGCATCAATTCATCCCCCTGATAATTATGATGAATTTTTATTCGTCAACAAGATTACCAAACATTACAATCCGCTCATTATTCAAGTGATTTCCTAAATGCAGTAGCCTGTGCAGTTGTCCTATTGCTCTGTGTATCTTAAAGACCTTTTTAAAAATAAATTCCTTTACCACTGTGTCACTGGATGTATGATTATAGATCTGTGCCTATGTCATTACACTCCACTATAACCGTGTATATTTGAGTGAGTATTGTGGTAATTTTGGATGTCTGGCATTTCATAGCATATAATCTTCTTTTGTCTTCCTTTTTCTTCAGGTTTCCCAGTTCCTGAGGTGAGCTGGTTTCGGGATGGCCAGGTTCTTTCTGCTGCAACTCTGCCCGGTGTGCAGATCTCGTTTAGTGATGGCCGCGCTAAACTGGTGATCCCCACCGTGACAGAAGCAAACAGTGGAAGATACACCGTACAAGCCACCAATGGATCTGGGCAAGCAACTAGTACTGCTGAGCTACTTGTCACAGGTATGAAGTAACTAAAGAAAGGTACTTCTCTCTGCTAGCAATGTAAGAAAGAGAGTGATAGCAGAAGTGAAGAACATTTGGATTTGAAGTACATGCTTAGCGAAGAAATAGCAAACCAAATTCCTTTTCCAAAGCAGTCTAGAATTCAGCATATATTCTCACCAGTAATTTCTAACAACATCCTTTACACTTTAACTGTATCAAGTTTAGTCTTGATCTTGTAAACTCTTACAATTGCAAACTTCTGGCTTAGCCCTGTATACTCCTGCTCATGTGATCTGTCACCCTGGCTACATTCAAACTATGCATAAAAGAAAGGATGAAGTACTGCAGGATGGAACCCTTAATGCCATTTAGTGATATAAATTATATTTAACAGAATAACTCACATGAAGGGCCATACCCGAGAGACCGCGCTTACTACCAATAGTTATAATCAATGTATCTCTCATTCTTAGAAAGAGCTGCAATGGTGGGAATAACCAGAAATCTCAGAAGTTTTAAACACATGAAAAAAATTAAGGGTGTTTGCATTTTGGCAAATCACCCCTTAATGTTTTGAATGTTTGAGAAGGTAGTATCATCTTCAGTAGCATATGAAGGAGAAATAGACCTTGTGCACTTCTACTAATGAAAATATCTAGCCCTGAAGGTTCTTTTTAACAGATGTTATTGTTTTCCTATTTATTTCTTCAATGAAACTACAGCTGGAACAGCACCACCAAACTTCTCACAACGACTACAGAGCATGACTGTAAGGCAAGGAAGTCAAGTTCGGCTTGACGTGAGAGTGACTGGAATCCCTACACCTGTGGTGAAGTTCTATCGGGAAGGAGTAGAAATCCAAAGCTCCCCCGATTTTCAAATTTTACAAGAAGGAGACCTTTACAGCTTAATAATTGCAGAAGCATACCCTGAAGACTCCGGTACCTATTCAGTAAATGCCACAAATAATGTGGGACGTGCTACTTCAACAGCTGAATTGCTAATTCAAGGTAACAGAGTTGAACTTGCAAGCCATGATGTTAAGAGAGCATTCATTGTTGTAATGGTGCAATGCACACCACTTCATCAAAGATATATCAAGAAGTTCATTTCTAACTTCTTTCTCAAGAGTTAACTTGATATTAAAAATCAGTGTCTTTGGTGAAATTTGCCAAAGATTTTTGTCTGAGAATTTAAAAGGACCTTTTCTCCAGAATGCGTCGTCTTTAAGCTGAGGATACAGTGGTCAGAAAAAGTGTGGAATACTTTCAGTTGTTCTCATTTTGTTCTGTAGATTTCTCAAAGTTGTATTTGTAAGCTGGCTTTGATAGAATAGATATATTAGACTGCACAACTGTACGTGGTCTTGTAAATGAGCCTGGTAAGGATGAAAACAGTTCTTAGATAGAGAATTGTAGCAGTGAATCATTCTACCCAGAGCAGTCTTGCTTGGATGTCAGCTCAGTTAAGCTTCCAGACTCTGTAGTCATTTGAGATCTGGGTCTGGTTCTGAAGAATCTACAATAGATGTGTTTTGGTTTGGTTTGGTTGAGTTTTTTTTCTAATGACATAGTAATGCAGAAATATTATTTCAACTGTTTTCACAATTATCTGTCTGTAGATACTGCAGGAAAAACAGATGGTTGCTTAACTCTTTCTCTGTTTGTTTTTTTTTTTTTTTAATATATAATTGGAATTGACCATTCATTTATTTTTGCAACCGCTTATTGTTTGTTGCTATATGCTGTTCTCCTGACCATGTTTTCTCTTCCAAAAGGTGAGGAAGAAGCCGTTCCTGCTAAAAAGACAAAGACAATTGTTTCGACTGCTCAGATTTCACAAACAAGACAAGCCAGAATTGAAAAGGTATATTTTCAAAAATAAAGAACGTGAGGCTGAAATGTGGATGATTCCTTCTACTGTATCTCAGACCTCTTTTCTTGATTTCATTCTAGAAGATTGAAACCCACTTTGATGCCAGATCACTTACAAGTGTTGAAATGGTCATAGAAGGTGCAACAGCACAACAGCTCCCACACAAAGCACCTCCACGAATGCTTCCTAGACCTACATCAAAATCACCAACCCCACCAGTAATCGCTGCAAAAGCTCAGATGGCACGACAGCAATCACCATCACCTGTTAGACAATCACCATCACCTGTAAGACATGTCAGAGCACCAACACCGTCACCAGTAAGGTAAACTTAATATTCTTTCAAACAAGCTTGCTTTTTGAATAGTAGTAATGCTGTGGAATGAGAGCATAGTACAAAATGGAAGAATGCGCTGGCTTAATACTGAGTTTGTTCTGACTGTGAGCTATAATGCTCTATATTTGCCACTGTTATAGAAGTGCATGCCTCTTACATAAGTTTTCTATCTGATATGGAAGAAAATCCTGCAGAGAATGAATCCTATTTGATTGTTCTATATACAGCTGAAGTAGCACTCAAAGATCCAAGTTCATGATGAAAAAGAAGAAAACAGTAGAGCAGTTGGCCCTTGATTATTTTAGACAAACAGAGAAAAGAGCAATGATTCTGATAAGCGTCAAACAGAATGGAAGGATACTTAAAAAAATGTGAACACATGTTCTGTGTGTGTGCCGGTAATGACTGCAAAAATAATGTTTTGAAGGTAGGCGAGGTAAATGTGGTTATGGAAAAATTAAATTTAGCTCTGCTGTGTAAAGGGTCTTGAGAGGGAAAGTGAGTGATTTGAAGAGCAGAGATCGTGGTCTGGGAGACTCCAGGAGGTCTGTGCTGAAAAGCAGCTAAAAAGAAAATTGCTTTGGAAGTCTTGCAGTTTCAGCATTCTGAAGCACCAGCGTCGTGGAAGGAACGTCTCCAAGCTGAGTGCTCAGAAGAGCCTCACTTAAATTGCCAGAGCTAGGTACACTGGTGAGGTTTGCCCCATTGAGAATAACTTGCAAGGACAGGAAGAAATGGATTGATAGTAACTAGCAATAATGAACAAACTGCACAGATAAAATAATGATTCAATAGTGCCATCTAGAGTGTTTGTGGAACTAGAAGTTTGTACTCCCCTGCTAGTCATTCTAGACGTGCAACACATTAGAAAATAAATCTACAAATTAATATGATGCTGCTGCCCCCTACTGCTGCAATTTGTTAATGGTATCTGGGAAATGCGGCATTAAAAACCCTCTCCAGAACATCTAAGTTAGAAAGCCTGTTAAAGCATTTTGAAAAATGCTTTATAACTATCTACTAGGACTGGGATTGAATTTCTGGAATATTAAAATTTAGAAACTAGCACTTTCCAAGTGGCTACCAATTATTGTGGCTGAGATTTGTATATATAAGTATGGGAAAAATATGTAGGCCCTGATCAGAAGCTTGCCTGAAGCCTGAACACATGTACGGATGACTATGGAAATGAGATGAGGCGCAGGAGTAAATACAGTTATGTTGTTACTAGGAGGCTGCCAAGTTATATTTCTATATTTCTAAAGAATGGTTACACTAATAATTTTGTCTCTCTACAGAGACCCAACCACAAGTGTGTGTCATACTCACAGTCTGTAAGCCTTTTATAATACTCCTATTAGGAGAATTAAGATAAAGCAAATGTAAACTAATGATATATTTTTATATTTTAAATCTATGTGGTTGAGTGAAATGCCCTTTGACATTTGCCCTTATTTCTTTTTGGAAATCTAACTGAGCTACTACAAAGATGTGTTACAGTTTTGAGTATGACAAAAACTTGCATTAGGCATAATGTTACAAACAGAAAAGTGTAACTTACAAGTAGAACACTTCAAAAACTTTTTTAAAATCAGACTACAAAGTACTGGGGATACCCTAAATGGGGAGTGAATTCAAGCTCAGGCTGAAGTTGTTTATATAGTTGTTGTTGTATGATACTACACTAATTATATTAATACTTAATTTTTTCATTAGGTCAGTTTCTCCTGCTGGAAGAATCTCCACCTCACCTATTAGACCAGTGAAATCTCCATCTCCAATCCGTAAAACACATGTAGTGACAACAGCTGGGGCCGAAGTCCTTCCTCCTTGGAAGCAGGAAGGTTATACTGCAACCACAGAAGCCCAGATGAAGGAAACAAGAGTGTCTACAAGCTCTACCCAAATAAGAACTGAAGAAAAATGGGAGGGGAGATACGGGGTCCAAGAACAAGTTACTATTAGTGGTACCACTGCTGGCGAGGTTGCTGCTGGTGCTAGAGAGGTAAAGTCTATTTTTGGAAAGAGCACTGGTTTTGTTCTATGTGTGGACTCACCACTGTGGAATAGATCTGCCAAAGCGAATCTGAGAGGCTGTGTATAAAAATGTGTGTGCATCTGCTGTCGAGAAAGTTCTGCTGCAAATATTTAAATGCTTTGCAATGTTCTGTCTCTGTACTTCTTTTGTGCTTCTTCTGAATGTACGCAAAACATGAAAAAATGTCTTTTGATGTGACTAATATAGGTGAGAAAGGACACTGAAAAAACAGCAGCTGTTGCTACGGTTGTTGCTGCTGTGGATCAAGCCATGGTGAGAGAACCAGCTCCAGGTGTAGTAGAGCAAACCGCAAAAAGGACAGCAATGACTGCAGTCCACGTTCAACCTGTTCAGGAGCAGGTAGAAATAGAGCATAGATATTCTATATTTCCCCTTTATCCCTTCATCCAACACAAAAACAAGGCATGATTCACTGTGAGGAATTAACAAGGTATTACTCAGTGCACTGCAGAAGCATGCATACTCATATAGAACATCTGGGCTGTAAAGGAATGCTCGTGGATAATTTATTCCACTGTTTTCCATCATAGCAGGATTGAACTAATTATTCTTAAACTGGTTTTAAGTTTAAGAATGCCTTCTATGAAAGTGATCCTGTATTCTCCCTTGTCATTTATTCTCTAACATTCTTACACTGAAGAAGTTTTTTCTCTAATAGCTCATTTATATTTTCCCCACTAGGAATAAAATAATTTTCCCTTAGTATTTTTCCTTCACTTGCATTCCTTTCTTGTTTTTCCTCCTCTTTTGATGACCAACTTGTTTAAGTGAATTTTAAGGCTTTGGTTTTTTGTTTGTTGCTATAAATATCAGATGAGAAAGGAGGCAACGGTAGTAGTTACCAGTGACAAAGCCACAAAACAAACAGTAGCATCAAGAACTAGAGAAGGAATTGTTACTTCACAAGAACAAAGGCACATCGCCCATGAAAAGGTGAATACAGATGTAACCTATGATTGTCATACACTTGTTCAAAAATCTAATATCTGATCAGAAAGACAAGCCTATGAACAAGACAAATGACATGCTGTAATATTTTTTTCCTTTTATATATGTTCACTCTTCTAGTTTACATTGCTATCATTCTCCTATCTCTCCTTGATGAAAACTGTATTTCCTTTTTTATTTCACTTCCATTATTAATACTTCATGATAGATGAACATGCAAAACATTAACTCAGGAAAAAATCCTTTATGTATTGTATAGAGATTTACTAGATAGTATTCACAAACATTTAAAGAATTGATAATGTAGGAAATACCTCTTAAATTTTCCTTTTTTTTTTTCCTGATTTTGTTTCTAAGCTTGCCACTTGTAGCCTGCTTTGTTTGTTAGCAACACAGTGGATCAGAAAATGGAGGAAAAACTCATTCTGCATGGAAATCAATTTTGAAGATACTGATGAGTGATTGGAATTCATATTATTTTAGCATGTGTTTTATCAGCCAAATGTGATTTAATGGAAGACCAGCTTTTATAGAGAAATGTTGCTTTTGTATTCTAGCTGAAATGCGTGATGAAGAAAATGTAACTTATCTCTAAAGTACTGAGAAACAGAAATCCACCTGGGCAAAAAATTACATATTTATGTACAGATTGCATCTGAACTTCTTGGCAAAGTAAAAGTTACCTGGAACTTGTTTTTAATATCCTACGCTTTCTCAAACTGATTATGATGCAGGACAGTTTTTCTCTGATCCAGTATTATTTATTGCTACTTTCGATAGAAAAGCAAGCATTTGTGGAATGTTTTATTCTTTTTATACTAAACGTTTTATAAAAAATCTGTTTATGTTTTATTGTTGTTTCCAGACTAGATGATCTTGAAATCCAGTTTGACACTTTTCCTCCCTTTCTTTTGTATTCTCTTTTCCAAATGTATCAAAGATCACATACCTTATATTTTTAAACAATATATCAGTTAAACTTCTTTATTTACAAACATCCAGGTGAGAAAAGAACCAGAGAAAACTCCAGTACCCACACTAATAATTGCCACAGACAAAGCCAAGGAACACGAAAGAATATCAAGAGCGAGAGAAGAAATATCTACCAGACACGAACAAGTGCACATTGCTCATGAAAAGGTAAATAAATGTCACAGATATTTAGCTCATTGTTATACTTCAATAAGTTTATAAAACCTCATTCTTCATCAAATGTGCTATGTCTTTGCTCTGCTTCTTTATGAAGAGAAGATTACAAGATGAAAACTTTATAAAGCAAGGTATTCCAGATACAGGTCCAGCATTGTAGTTCAGTTCTGTTGACTTCATAGCAGCTCTGTCTACACAGGAAGAGTGCAGCTGCCCTTCCTACAGATCCTTTGAGCGTTATGGCTTTTATTGCTGGGGGTACTAAGAATTACACCTGATGTTTAATGACCTTTGCTTTATGTGTGAAGGTAGATTTCTGAAGATAAATTTTAAAGGTCATCTCTCATGAGACGATGTTTACACGTGGAGTTTGATTTAATGAAGTTCATGTTTGTGTGAGGACTGAATGCATCTGCTAGACCATATTGTGGAACCATTGTTTGTTGGAGTTACCAATGAAATGGTTCCATCTACTGATAGGAGTAAATATTAAGTCAGTAATACTAATTTTTATGCAAACAATTTCTAGAAAACATAATAATGATCTATCACAATTAAGAAGTGGGAAGATTCTTCTCTAATTCACACACAGATTAATGCAACATGCTAATGACTTTGAATGCCCTTCATGCAGCTAGCATATAAGACAGGCTATAACTTGATCTGTGCAAAAGAATTATTTCATTTCTCAGGTGATGTTTTTCTTGTATTTATATACATTCTGAAACTTTATGCCTCTTTCCCGAAAAGCTGTGTAATTTTGACAACAGGCATAATTGATTACTATGATTTTTTTTTTACCATAAATACTAGATAAGAAAGGAAGATGTGAAACCTGCTGTACCTAAGGTAGTAATTACCACTGATAAACCTAAACCACCGGTCATAATATCGAAAAGTAAAGAAGGAATTGCTACCAAACAAGAACAAGTGAGCATAACCCATGAAAAGGTGAATAGCACTATTACAGCCATATTTGGGTTTTTTTTAACACTCTTTTTCCCCAACCTTATGTGTCCCTCAAAAAATACTAACTATACATTTCAAGCTCATTTTTTCTAAAATTTATTCTGCTTATAAACTTTTAGATCTACTGTTAATTAAAAAAATCTTATTCCACCTCTATCTTACCTAACTGTTTTCATTAATGGGATGCCCATAATTCTCTTCTGACTGACCTTTGGAATGGACTGACTGACTCCTGAAATGCATTTTAACTTTTTTTTTTTTTAAATCATTGCTCTTATTTAAATAGGTGTCAGGGCATAACAATACTTATCAGGATACATATAATACAGGGCTGTGTGCAGTGCACAAGGATCTAACCCCTTAATTGTCTTTCCCTGTTCCCATTCCAAAATGCTTTCAAGATCATATGTAACCAAAACTTTTATTTCTGCTATAAAAATCAGATTAAAAAGGAAGCTAAGAAAACTACTGTAGTTCCGAAAATAATTGCCACTGATAAAACCAAGGCACCAGTCACAGTGTCCAGAACTAGAGAAGAAATTACAGCCAAGCAAGAACAAATTCATCTAGCTTATGATCAGGTGAATATAGCTGTTGCAGATGTGAAATGTGCTGTTACAATTTGTTTTTTCTGCAGACCTCACCTTTTAAAGCTATGTGAGTACAGCAGAATCCCTCAAATTAATTCCTGATAATACACCTGTTCAGTGTGATGATTGTCAAGTAACAGAGCCAGTGTGACTAAGTTTCTAGTGATAAAGAGGTTTATGTCTCACCCTGTTAGGAAATGACACTTTTAAGACTACAGTCAGCTTTCTCTGTGAAACCCTACTCCCTACCAATGACTTTCAAGTAACGTTTACTTATTCAAGTTTCTGACTGCAAACTTTTTTCCTACAAGATGGTTCCTTGCAATTTTATGGTTGTCAGGTGAAACAACCTCTCTATTAAGGTTTGGATTGTATTGTTCTTTGTACAATACAAACTTTAACCTCAGTTCAAGTCTGTCCGTTTCATTGCTTCTGACAATCAGACACTTGTTGACTTCTGTGTTCCAGTAGGACTCCCACAGTGGAAAAGCTTTTCTATTAAAATATAGCCAGAAACTCTCGTATGTGAAAGAACAGCATAGTTGCCAATGGCTTTTATTTAAAGTCTATCTGTTTACTTTGTTAGAGACAGTATGGTACATTCATAAAATGCTTTTATAAAATACAGTTAAAAGAGCATATCATATAAAAGTCACTCAGAGGAGTCAGGCTGCTAAGCTATGACAGTTACTTGTTAGATCATGTAAATTTAGGGCCAAATTCAAGTTAGTATGATTTTGAAATTGGTGATACTGAAGGAGAGACTGGTGTTACTCAAACACTACTTTAATAATAAAACAAAATTTCTGTAAACAATTACATTTTGACCTCACTTAAGTTATTTTAGTTCAAAGTGGTAATGATTTTAAAATGATCATGAAATTATCTAATAGGGTTTTTTCCCCATCTACAAGGCATACATTTCATATGCTGTGTTGCTGATCAGTTATGACAGTAATAATAAACACTACTAGTAATCATCCTATTACCTACTGTTGGCTGACTGGGCAGAAATTTGTACCCTGATAACGTAGAAGTTGACAGTATTTATCAGTTATTAGAAACAAATAAAAGTCCTGATACAAACGCATTGTTTCCAATTTCTTGGGAAGCTCAGTCTTCCTTCTTTTGTAGAATCGTTTAAAATAGATTAGCACCGAATTAAGAAGTATACCTGTGGTAAAAAATTTTTTTGCGTGTCTTTCTTAGTAAATACATTCACATCAGATGCTAGACAAATTCTCTACGTTTTTAGTAGAAGCTAACAGTTATGTAGATCTGATGAACATACTGACTTTAAAATTTTGTGCACATTTACATACCTACTGTACTCTTAGACAAGTAACCATAAATGTGACTATAAAGTATTAAAAGTGAGCTTGCATAGAAATATTGATATGTATTAAGGACACAAGCATAGATATGTTCTGAATATGCATCGACAGAGTTTAGAAAAAAAATATGTCTATATTTGATTCTGAATATTTGATTCTTAAATGTATTTATGGGTGAACACATTTGATGTATTCATTATTACTTTTGCATAGCTATACACTCTGTCTTTGTCTAGAATATGCTTTACTGGGCATTATATTTATAAGTATTTGCCAGATATGCAAGCCTTTAACATAATGATGATAATTTGCAAAAATTCTGCCAATATTATCTGTAGACCGAAGCTGGAAAAAGGGCTGAAGCTGTAGCTACAGTTGTTGCAGCAGTTGATCAGGCACGTGTTCGATCACCCTGGGAACCAGAACATGCAGATGAAGCTTATGCAAAGCAGAAAACTTTAGAATATGGATATAAAGAGCACACTGTAACAGACCGTGTTGCTGAGGCCCCAGCAGAACGTCATGTTGTCACTAAAGAAGTTAAAACTGTCTATGTTCCTCCTGAGAAGCATATCTCAGCTGCTGAAAAGAAGGAAATTCAGATATCAACAGAGGTTAGACTCAGTTTACATTGCATTCTTTTCCAAAAACGATGTCCCGGTCAGATCTGTTTCAGTTTGGAGAACAACGTCACATTCTCAACAACTATTTTTATTGCTTTGTGTAGATAAAAAGAGCAACAGAAACTAAGACTGAGAAAACAATTCATGTTGAACATCCACGACCCCGCACAGCAAGTCCTCATTTCACAGTCTCCAAAATTGCTGTTCCTAAACCGGATCACACGTATGAGGTAAGACGTGAAAACCGTATCCAAGAACAACATGCTCATTTAAGGAAACCAGCAGGTCACCCATTCCATTTGGCTTTTCCTCCCACTCTGGAATGGTGCTTTCCCAAGAAGAAGAGTTGCATTCTCTATTTGTTGTTATTGGCTTATTTGACTAATAAAGAGCAGTGCTGTAAACAGACACATGAACTCCTGAAATGTGATTCATAATTATCAGTTATTTAAACAAACTTTTCCTCTGTTTAAGGATGCAGCTTCAATGCTTCACGTCATACAATGAAATCATAAACATTTGTAATGTGACTTACATTTTTTTAAAGAGCAGAAGTATCTCTTCAATCTTACTATGTGCATCAGTTCCCTAGCGCATTGGAAACCGTGCTTCTTTCTTCCTTGCAGATTATTACATACTTCAGCTAATTTTTGAATAGAAAAAATCCAGACTACATAATATGTCACCATCCATTTTTTATGTTATTTTTTGCATTCTTCTGTTTGATTCCTTCAATTTTAATTTTAATTTTTCCCATTTAATTAATTTTCTCATTCAAGCGTACGTTCTCTTTTCACCTGGACTATAAAAATGATCTATTTTTTACCTTAAACATAATTAAACACTATAAAAATTACCTAAAATATTTTTCTCTTTAAACATTTATGTATGTTTTCCAAAGTTATTACACCTACAATAACTCTTGGAAATCTCTTCAATTATTTTAATCACTGACAGATATCTATTTAGTAATATTGTTTATTGCAGTATCAGACTGATTAAATGGAAGACTAAGGTCTCAAGTGAAAAATTTAGAGGACATTTCTCACGTTGCTCTTAAGAGCTTCTTGACCATTTAAAAACCAAAAAAGAAAAAATACTTGAATGTTAGACACATCAAAAATAATACAAGGATATTATATCTCCAGTATTTTACTACTGCAATATAAAACTAGAAGTCATTTTTGTGTATATAGCTTTTGCAGTGTCGACAAATAAGTAACTAAGGACGCAACTGCTGCACATCCAATCTGCTCAGGAAATATGCTGTCTCCTTTGAAAACAAGAGAACAGCAAAGCTGTAGCTCTTTCTCTTCTGTTCCCTAGGTTTCAATAGCTGGATCTGCCATGGCTACTCTGGAAAAAGAGTTATCAGCTACTTCTGCTGCACAAAAGATCACCAAGCCTGTGAAACCACCTCAACTAAAGCCACATGAAGTCAGGATAAAAGCAGAGCCAGTTGCCCCTCCACAGTTTCCCTTTGGAGAGGCTCCGGAGACCTATAAAAGTCGCTATGATGTTGAGACTGAAAAGGAGATGGGTGTAAGCATTAAAGGTGAAGCAGCACGGGAAGAACACTTGGTGTTGCGGAAAGAAAGTGAAGCAAAAGTATGTAATTAAGCAAATTTCCATCACTTTGACTGACATTCTTCTTAAAAAAGTAGCATAACCTCACTTGTTTGCTGTTTTCTCATTGCAATTTTCAACTTTTACAGCATTTTGCTGACTTTTAACTCTGTTGTTCTACACAAATCCTTCTAAGGACCTAATATTTACCTACGACAAGCAAAGAGTTCTCTTTACCTGAATTCTTTTCTTATTTAAATTATTCTGTTTATGTCCTTGACTTTGTTACGTGTTTATTAACTGTGCCTTAAACAACCTAGGTGACAGAAACTGCCAGAGTTCCTGTGCCTGCAGAAATCCCTGCTACTCCACCCACCTTAGTCTCAGTAAGTAATTTGTATGTAGATTATGGGAGTTACACTATGTTTTCATGTGTTTTGTACTCAAACTTTTATCTTTGAAAACCTGACCATGAAAAATTTGGTCTATTTAATGCTTTTAAGTATTAGACTTACTCAGCCATAAAATTTATTTCTGATACAAACTATTCTGAATGTCTGTTACGAGACTGATTCTTCACAGTTATGTGATATAGTAGGTTGACCTTTGCTGCAGTGAAACAATTTCTTACCATGATCTGCATAAACATCAGCTGACTTTTTCATTTTCTTGTTAATAACAGTAATGTTCAGAGATCCCAAATTCAATTTCAAATATTTCCCTCTGCAAAATGCTTCTATTTTCCTGGATACACTGCTGAACAGGACACTGTTTTGAAATAGACATTAGATTTTCCATTCAAATAGATTTTATTTATTTAAATGTCTGTTTAATAGTGAAAATACATACTGACTGTGATACTTTTTGTCATACAGGGCCTCAAAAATAAGACTGTGACTGAAGGTGAGTCTGTCACTCTGGAGTGCCATATCTCTGGTCATCCTCAGCCTGCTGTGACATGGTACAGGGAAGACTACAAGATTGAGAGCTCAATGGACTTTCAGATCACTTTCAAAGCAGGGCTTGCTCGCCTTGTGATTCGTGAAGCCTTTGCAGAAGACAGTGGAAGATTTACCTGCACTGCTACCAATAAGGCTGGCAGTGTTAGCACATCTTGCCACTTACATGTGAAAGGTAAGTATATTTATCACTGTAGCAAGATTATAGTTTTGTTAACTGCATATTACTTGTAATGTAATTTAGACATTTTGTCAGTTCCCAAGTAGAACATATGCCTTGAATTGTATTCCAGGGCTGTTGGGTAACAGGGCTCCAAGAATATGAGGAGAAGGCCAATTATGGGCTAGTAGAGACTCTTAACTCGTTTCTTCAGTTGGATGTGCCTGGCTTTCTGAGCCAACTAACTACTTAACCAGCTCTCTCTTTGTGTCAACTAAACTCACTGCTTAAGCACTATTAAAGTATTTGAAAATCCACTATACCATATTTTCCTTGCAGTTTCAGAAGAAATTGAGACTCGAGAAACCATTTCTGAGAAGGCTGTTACAGAAGAGAAACGGTAAAGTTATTTCCTAAACAGACTGCACCTGCTGCAGTCATTAGTTTCTTGCATTCTATTTATGAGAGCTTCAGACATCAGCTCACTTACCTGCACTGGAATCTTATTTCAGCTATGTGGAGACAAAGGACATTGTAATGGAAGATGTCTCTGCTGCAGCAGAGGAAGTATCGGGAGAACCCATACCTCCTTTCTTCATAAGAAAACCCATGGTACATAAATTAATCGAAGGTGGGAGCATTATTTTTGAATGCCAAGTAGGGGGCAACCCAAAGCCACATGTCTACTGGAAAAAAGGTGGAGTTCCTCTAACGACTGGCTACAGGTACTTTGAATGTAATGCACAAAAACTATTTAAACATAATTTTAAAGAATATTTAATTAACAGTAGCATAGTTTTGATTCTCTTACTGATGCTGAGCCAAATAATATCACTGATTTCTGTGAAATTTTATTTTTGAAATGGAAATATCATAGAATCACGTCTTAATGTAAAACTTTAGGAGGCTGTTCAGTTTTAAAATACAAATGTTCAAAAGACTGTAAAATAAGAAATGTTACATAACCTTAAATACAAATCAGGAAGAAGTTTTGTGTTTGTTTTATTCTGTCTATGCAATGTAAGCATTCTGTCTATGCAAATATTATCTGTGGAGTAACACTGAGCTCCTGGACAAACTCAAACATGAAAGGGAAGCCTACAGAGGGTGGAAGCAAGGACAAGTAGCCTGGGAGAAATATAGAGAAATTGTCTGAGCAACCAGGGATCAGCTTAGGAAAGCTGAAGCCCTGATGGAATTAAATCTGGCCAAGGACATCAAGGGCAACAAGAAAAACTTCTATATGACGTGAGTGTTAAAAGGAGGACTGGGGAAAACGTTGGCCCTCTCTGGAAGGAAACGGGAGACCTGGCTGCCTGAGATATGAAGGTTGAGGTACTCAATGACTTTTTTGCCTAAGTCTTCACTGGCAAGTGCTCTAGCTGCACTGCTCAAGTTGCAGAAGATAAAAGAAAGGACTGGGAGAATGAATAACTATTCACTGTAGAAGATCAGATTCAAGACTATCTAAGGAACCTGAAGGTGCACAAGTCCATGGTACCTGATGAGATGCACCCGCATTTCCTGAGGGAACTGGCAGATGAAATTGCCAAGCTACTATCCATTGTATTTGAGAAGTCGTGGCAGTTTGGTGAAGTTCCCACTGACTGGAAAAGGGGAAATATAATCCCATTTTTAAAAAGGGAAAAAAGGTAGAGTCAGGGAACTACAGGCCAGTCTCACCTTTGTGTCCAGCAAGGTCATGGATCAGATGCTCCTGGTAACTATGCATATTGGAAAAAAGGAGGTGACAGCCAACATGGCTTCACTAAGGGCAAATCGTGCCTGACAAATTTAGTGGCCTTCTATGATGGGGTTACAGGGTTGGTAGATAAGGGAAGAGAAACCGACATCATCTGCCTGGACTCGTGCAAAGCATTTGACACTGTCCTGCATGACATCCTTGTCTCTAAACTGAAGAGACATGAATTTGACAGATGGACCATTTGGTGGATAAGGAATTGACTGGATGGTTTGACTCCGAGTTGCGGTCAACGGCTCGATGTCCAAGAGGTGACCAGTGACGAGTGGTGTTCCTCGGGGGTCAGTACTGGGGCCAGTGCTATTTAACATCTTTGTTGGTGACAGGGACAGTGGGATCGAGTGCACCCTCAACAAGTTTGCAAATGACACCAAGCTGTGTGCTGTTGTGGACATGCTGGAGGGAAGGGATGCCATCCAGAGGGACCTTGACAGGCTGGAGAAATGAGCCTGTGAGAACCTCATGAAGTTCAACAAGGCCAAGTGCAAGGTCCTGCACATGGGTCAGGGCAATCCCAAGCACAAATACAGGCTGGATGGAGAATGGATTGAAAGCAGCCCTGAGGAGAAGGACTTGGGGGTGTTGGTTGATGAGAAGCTCAACATGAGCCGGCAATGTGTGCTTGCAGCCCAGGAAGCCAACCGTATCCTGGGCTGCATCAAAAGAAGCGTGGCCAGCAGGTTGAGGGAGGTGATTCTGCCCCCCTACTCTGCTCTCGTGAGACCCCAGCTGCAGTACTGCATTCAGGTCTGGGACTCCCAACATAAGAAGGATATGGACCTGTTGGAGCGGGTTTGGAGGAGGACCACGAAGATTAATCAAGGGCTGGGGCACCTCTGCTATGAAGACAGGCTGAGAGAGTTGGGGTTTTTGAGCCTGGAGAAGAAAAGGCTCTAGAGGAGACTTTCTAGCAGCCTTCCAGTACCTAAAGGGGGCTTACAAGAAAGCTGCAGAGGGACTTTTTACAACGGCATGTAGTGATAGGACAAGGGGTAATGGCTTTAAACTGAAAGAGGGTAGATTTTGATTAGATTTAAGGAAGTAGTTTTTTACTCTGAGGGTGGTGAGGCACTGGAACAGATTGCTCAGAGATGTTGTGGATGCCCCATCCCTGGAAGTGTTCGAGGCCAGGTTGGATGAGACTTTGAGCAACCTGGAGTAGTGGAGGGTGTCCCTGCCCATGGCAGAGGGGTTGGAACTAGATGATCTTTAAGGTCCCTTCCAACTCAAACCATTTTATGATTCTATGATTCTAAAGAAAGCAACACACTTTGTAGCAGAGAAAAATAACCATTTATAGCATTCTTGAAATATATCATGCTATAATGACACATATTAGGACAAACTATGGGCACAAAGCATATAGCATTTTACCTCATCAGATAATCACATCTCTGATATTTCAGTACTGTTGTTTGCATCCCATTTATTTTAGTGACAACAGAAGATAATTAGACCTATGTTTCTGCATAGTTACTTTTCCTAAGCTGTTCTGCAGAGTCATTGAGTGAGAATTACCTGCAAAAGTTTGTCTTTTTTTGTCTTGTACAACTTAGAAGTGATTCTGATAAATTGTATAACCAAAAGCAAATTCATCAAAAATTCTGTTCTTCAGAATTATAGAGAGCTTGTACTTTTATGTTTTCCATAGATACAAAGTGAGTTACAAAAGAGAAACCGGGGAATGCAAACTTGAAATTTCCATGACTTTTGCCGACGATGCCGGAGAATACACTATTGTTGTTCGTAATAAACATGGAGAAGCTTCTGCAACGGTCTCCTTACTAGAAGAAGGTACATTGTAGATTAAAGAAATGGGAAAAATATTTCTTAAAATTAACTTTAAAATGGGAAAAAGATTTTAAATTGTGTTGCAGATTCTTTGCAGTTTAGTTTGGTAAATTCAAGACAAATAAAGGGAAACCTGGTGGCTCTGTTTCTTCAAGACAGAATATTTGACATCATGTTCTTGAAGGACTTGTATTCTTTGCTAGAATGTGTTGCCTGTGTGAACCTTCTTTGGTTAATGTCCTTAACAGTCTACATAACATAAGACATTCTGAGAATGATGTGGGAAAGCAATAGGTTGTTCTATTACAGGGAAATAAGATAACTTAATATTTTTTTTTTTCAATTGTCCTGGTAAAAATGCATGAAAGTTAGCAGGAAACGGAGCCACAGTGAAGAACCCTTAAATAGCACAATAAAACTTTTAGCTGTTTGTAAAGCTCAGCTGAGGGCATCAGTATTTGCATTTTATTGCTGTTCATGTTTTATTGACAGTTTGTATTTTATTGGTTAAACAGACAAAAACTTTGCTTGAATCACCAAAAACAGTAAAACAAATTTGTACTTGTTTTCTCTATTCAACCCAGTGAAAACCATAAAAACTTATCAAAATTAATGTGTTCTTAATTCATAGCTGATTATGAGGCCTACCTAAAATCGCAACAAGAAATGATGTACCAAACTCAGGTGACTGCATATGTACAGGAACCCAAAGTGGCTGAGGTTGCCCCAGCTATTTCATATGGTGACTTTGAAAAAGAATATGAAAAAGAACAAGCGCTAATTAGGAAGAAAATGGCGAAAGATACAGTGATGGTCAGAACTTTTGTAGAAGATGAGGTATGTCTACCACTTCATACTCATTTTGTATGCTGACACGTTACCAGCACAAATCACTTCTTTACAAGGTCATTATCTGACACACAGAACTCATGGTCTTGCTTTTCTTTATAGGAATTCCATATTTCTTCTTTCGAAGAAAGACTTATAAAGGAAATTGAACTCAGAATTATTAAGACCACCTTAGATGAACTTCTTGAAGAAGATGGAGAGGAGATGATGATTGATATTTCTGAATCTGAAGCTATAGAAGCAGGATTTGACATAAGATTAAAGAATTACAGAACTTTTGAAGGAACAGGAGTTACTTTCCATTGCAAGATGACTGGATATCCATTGCCAAAGGTACCCCAAAGCTGTATAACATTAATCTATTAAAAAAACCCATCTGGTGCTCTATTTGAAAAATCCCTTAACATTTCATTGTCAGACATTCTGCACTGAACTTAGCAACTCTCAAAGGAATCCAGTCTGTTGTTTTGATATCAAGCTATCTTTTGCTTTTGTCCTTTAATAGGATAGTGTTAGGTTGGTTAGCCAGTGCAGAGGTAGGTTAGATTTGCCGGTTAAGCTGGTCTTGCTTCTGAGCATCTCTGAGTTAGCCCACACAAGGAGGGAACACAGTAGCAAGTTTGGTCTAGGTCACTTTGCTCTCCTTCAAAATGGGCTTCCAAAACTTGTGTTTCAGGCTACTATGAAAGCATGTTGCTTTAGTCTTACTTTTTTCAATTAAGAATGTTAATTTTAACACATACACATGGGCTGTGATGATGCATTGGCTGAAAAATAGGAAGTTGTAATATGTTATATGCATGGGTCATTACCGGGTTTTTGTCTTTAAGAGAGCTCACATAGCATTCCACTGTTTCTTTCCGTGCAGATTGCATGGTACAAAGATGGTAAGCGCATAAGGCACGGAGAGCGCTACCACATAGAAGTTCTGCAAGATGGCAGTGCCAGTCTGCGTTTGCCTGTTGTTCTACCTGAAGATGAAGGAATTTATACTGCCTTTGCCAGTAATATGAAAGGAAATGCTATTTGCTCAGCAAAACTCTACGTTGAGCCAGTTGCACCCACTGCAACTCCAGGTTATATGCCAGGACCAGAAGTTATGAGAAGATACAGGTAGGTACACAGTAATATATAAATTTCATGAGACTTCAGTCTGCTGTGATAGACAGTCCAAAAACTCAGTACACAGCAACTAAACAGCTTAAGTTATCGGAGTTTGCATACCTCTAGAGAAGTTCTAAATGCTGTTTTCATGGCTTATATTGATTTATGTACCAACTCTTTGTCTGATTTGCCTTCTTAATGAGCAGTGCAGTTCCCAGAATGCCATCATTCACATCCATATCCAGCCACAATGTCAGATTTATGACCTCAGCAACCATATTTATTTCTTAAAGTACTCATGTTTTGGAAAAAAAATTCTTCTGCACTTGCAGGTTTAGTACTGTGTGCAACTCTTACTTCCCACCCTTGAAATAGCTGTATTTCTATGACAGAAAATATCCAATGTTGCCATGTACTGTGTTCTGTCTCCATATACATGCACATATATGCACAAGCGTACACAGGATTAGATCCATATCTGTACAGTATCCAAAACGCAAAAATTTCCCCGGCTGTGGTATGTCCTAATACTATTCAGCTATGCAACCTACTGTCAAAAACTTAAAGAAAATGACTAAAAATAAAAATTAATTTTGTCATGATATCTCACATAGATAAATTGGTTAACATCTTTAAAATAAATTGTGCTGAAGGTAAAAGTTGAACTCTGTTTATCATGTCAGCTCACTGCTATATAATGTTATCATATACATCTACCTTACCTTTTCATTTCAGGTCTATTTCTCCACGCTCTCCAAGCCGATCTCCTGCCCGCAGTTCTCCTTCTCGTTCTCCTGGCCGCAGATTAGAAGAAACTGATGAAGGACAACTAGAGAGACTATATAAGCCAGTTTTTGTGCTGAAACCTACATCATTCAAATGTTCACAAGGGCAAACAGCAAGATTTGACTTAAAAGTTGTTGGCAGACCTATGCCAGAGACATACTGGTTCCATAATGGTACGTCAGCCTCATTTTCATCAGCATATAATCTTGAAAAACAGTCTTATATGCATTTTACACCTTGTTGAGACACTGTTTGAAGTGCAACTTTTTTTTTAAATGTTTATCTGCAGGTCAACAAGTGGTTAATGACTACACCCATAAAATAGTGATTAAAGAAGATGGAACCCAGTCATTGATCATTGTTCCTGCTATGCCAGATGACTCTGGAGAATGGGCTGTAATTGCTCAGAATAGGGCAGGCAAAGCTTCAGTCTCAATGACACTGAATGTGGAAGGTATCTACTGTGCATGCTATTTTAGGAGGCTGAGGACTGTTTCTTAGTAAAAACCATGGTTAAGTCATTTTCTCTTGTGATAACTTATCTTTACTTTTTCAGCTAAGGAAGACCTAGTCAGACCACACTTTGTGGAAAGGCTGAGGAACGTTAGTGTAAAGGAAGGCTCTAGACTGGAGATGGCAGTGAAAGCTACTGGTAACCCTAATCCTGACATTGTATGGCTGAAGAACAGTGACATCATTGTACCTCATAAATACCCCAAAATAAAGTAAGCATTTTTATTTTGTTTAAGTAGTAAAGGAGATAGTAATCACCATCCTGTGAAGTACCTCCTATAGTGTGCAGATTATCCTTGCTTCCATAGAAGGGATTCACTAAGGGCTTAGTCCAGCGGCTACTGAAGCTACTAACAGCTTTTGCATTGCAGCAAGGCTAAGAGATATAAAATATCTTGTAGGACTGGCTCAATTTTTTCCAGCTTGTATATGCATGTATTTTGTAGTCTGCAAAGCCAATGCTTTTACAAAAGAGATTTAGGGAACCTTTATCTGTGTGATTATGAAGTCCTCTGCAGGCAAAACTGCCATTGGAATCAAGACTGGTTTTTGTTATCCTTATCTGCTTGGTTCTTAGGCACTGCACTCATAAACATAAATAAACATAAACAACATGCCTAATTTCTCCAGGGATTTGCCTTTGGAAGCTTTTTAATTTTGGAGAAAGGCAAAAATGAATAACAAAGAAGTGCAAAAAAGTTTAAAAAACATTGTTTTATTATTTCAGGATTGAGGGAACCAAAGGGGCAGCTGCCCTTAAAATTGAATCTACTGCCAGACAAGATGCTGCCTGGTATACTGCTACTGCTATCAATAAAGCAGGGCGGGACACTACTCGATGCAAAGTAAATGTTGAAGTCGAACATGCAGAACCTGAACCAGAAAGACGATTAATCATTCCAAAAGGAACTTACAAAGCCAAGGAGATTGCAGCACCAGAATTGGAGCCTCTCCATTTGCGTTATGGTCAAGAGCAATGGGAGGAAGGAGATCTCTATGACAAAGAAAAGCAACAGAAACCATTTTTTAAGAAGAAGCTCACATCTTTAAGGCTCAAGCAATTTGGACCAGCACACTTTGAGTGCAGACTTACACCAATTGGTGACCCAACTATGGTGGTGGAATGGTTGCATGATGGCAAGCCCTTGGAAGCAGCTAACAGACTGCGCATGATCAATGAATTTGGATACTGTAGCCTGGACTATGGAGTAGCCTATTCCAGAGACAGTGGAGTGATCACTTGCAGGGCAACTAACAAATATGGTACAGATCATACATCCGCTACTCTGATCGTGAAGGATGAGAAAAGCCTTGTGGAAGAATCCCAGTTGCCAGAAGGCAGAAGAGGACTGCAGCGAATTGAAGAGTTAGAAAGAATGGCCCATGAGGGTGCTCTTCCTGCAGTTGCAGTGGACCAAAAGGAAAAGCAAAAACCAGAAATTGTTTTGGTTCCTGAACCTGCAAGAGTCCTGGAAGGTGAAACAGCACGATTCCGCTGCCGTGTGACTGGCTATCCTTTGCCCAAGGTCAACTGGTACCTCAATGGACAACTCATCCGTAAGAGCAAAAGGTTTAGACTCCGTTACGATGGAATCTACTATCTGGATATTGTGGACTGCAAATCATATGACACAGGAGAGGTGAGAGTCACTGCAGAGAATCCAGAGGGCTTTATTGAACATAAGGTGAGACTTGAGATCCAGCAGAGGGAAGATTTCAGATCTGTTCTTCGTCGTGCTCCTGAGCCCAAACATGAGCCTGTAGTGACAGAGCCTGGAAAACTTCTCTTTGAGGTACAGAAGGTAGACAAACCTGCAGAGGCAACAACGAAAGAAGTGGTTAAATTGAAAAGGGCAGAAAGAATCACTCATGAGAAGCTTTCAGAGGAATCTGAAGAGCTGCGTAGTAAATTTAAGCGTAGGACAGAAGAGGGCTATTATGAAGCCATCACTGCTGTGGAACTTAAGTCTCGCAAAAAAGATGAATCATATGAAGAACTGTTAAAAAAGACGAAAGAAGAACTTCTTCACTGGACCAAAGAGATCCCAGAGGAAGAGAAGAAAGCACTTCCTCCTGAAGGCAAAATCACCATTCCAACATTCAAACCAGAGAAGGTTGAGCTTAGTCCAAGCATGGAGGCTCCCAAGATATTTGAACGAATTCAAAGCCAGACTGTAGCCCAGGGGACAGATGCACACTTCCGTGTAAGAGTGGTGGGAAAACCAGACCCTGAGTGCCTGTGGTTCAAAAATGGTGTCCAGATCGAAAGGACTGATCGTGTCTATTGGTACTGGCCTGAAGATAATGTTTGTGAATTAGTCATCAGAGATGTGACTTCTGATGATTCTGCCAGCATCATGGTGAAAGCAGTCAATATAGCTGGTGAAACTTCTAGCCATGCTTTCCTGTTAGTACAAGGTAATTTAAATTCTCTTACTTTTATCCTACAAAAACACTTATCACTACTTATCTTAGTGTGTTAAGTCTATATGGCCAATGCACTGTTAATTCATTGCATACTGTTTTGCAGCCAAGCAGTTAATCAGCTTCACCCAGAAGTTACAAGATATTGTTGCTAAAGAGAGAGACTCCATGACTACATTTGAATGTGAGACATCAGAACCCTTTGTCAAAGTGAAATGGTTTAAGGATGGAATTGAGATTCATTCTGGAGACAAATACAGGATGCACTCAGACAGAAAGGCTCATTTTCTTTCTGTACTAGCAATTGAAATGTCTGATGCTGATGACTACAGCTGTGCACTGGTAGAAGATGAATCCATAAAAACTACTGCAAAGCTTACTGTTGAAGGTAAGAAGCATACAGCTCAGTACCATGCAGTATTATTAAAGTGAAATCAGCTTCAGGAAGAAATAAAACAATTTAAACTGGTGTCTAACACACTAAGAAATGTTCAAGCTGCTTTCATATTCTCAGAATCCAGTATGAAATTTTTTAGACATATTTATGTAAAATGGTTACACCGTATATATATTAATTTCCTTACGCTCTATTAATAACAAATGTTTTCATGAGGGGTATCTAACCACGCATATTCATGAATGTAATTATTTTTGCCTGTAGGCGCTGTGGTTGAGTTTATTAAAGAACTTGAAGATGTTGAAGTACCAGAATCCTTCTCAGGTGAACTTGAATGCGAGGTTTCTCCAGAAGATGTGGAGGGGAAATGGTATCACGGCGATGTTGAACTCACTTCTAATCATAAATATGTGATTGCATCCCGCCGTGGTCGCCAAATCCTCACTATTAAAGATGTTAATAAAGATGATCAAGGAGAGTATAGCTTTGTTGTTGATGGAAAAAGGACTCACTGCAAACTAAAGATGAAGCGTAAGCATTTGTAATATTTATATTGTCTATATATTATAATTTTTTTATATTATAGCATATATTATAGTTATATCACTATATCCCGTACTGCCTTAATATTCAATATTATGCTTCTCTGTTATAAGGATTAATTAACTTCATTTCATTCCACAGCTCGTCCCATGGCTATTCTTCAAGGACTTACTGATCAAAAAGTCTGTGAGGGAGATATTGTACAACTTGAAGTTAAAGTCTCCCTAGAAAATGTGGAAGGTGTCTGGATGAAAGACGGTCATGAAATTCAATCAAGCGATCGTATTCATATTGTGTTGGACAAACAGTCACACATGTTGCTGATAGAAGATGCAACAAAGGAAGATAGTGGATCTTACTCTTTTAGTGTTCCTGGTCTTGGACTGTCAACCACTGGACAGATCACAGTGTACAGTAAGTCATTATCATGATTTTGAAAGTGTGTTTGATTTTTGTGTCCTTTAGGATTACTTCTTAAAGACATAGTTTTTTGATTATGAATATTTTTGTAACTTGACAGGTGTGGAAATAGTGGTGCCTCTGAAAGATATTCACACAGTTGAAGGAACAAAAGCTATCCTTGAATGCAAAGTTTCAGCACCTGATGTGTCTTCCTCCAAATGGTACCTAAATGATCATCAGATAAAGCCTGATGAACGCGTACAAGCTGTATGTAAAGGCACTAAACAGAGGCTAGTGCTTACCAGAACCCATGCATCAGATGAAGGACGTTATAAGCTAATGGTTGGCAAAGTTGAAACAAGTTGCAATGTCACGGTTGAAAGTAGGTTTCCTTTAAGATGCACAGTTCTTTGTGAAATTATTTCTTTAAATACAAAACTGTGGAAACAACTAATATGTTTGTAATGTATTCTTTTTTATAGAAATTGAGATTATTAGAGGTCTTCATGACATTACCTGCACTGAAACACAGAATGTGTCCTTTGAGGTTGAGCTCTCCCATTCAGGGATTGATGTTATTTGGCATTTCAAAGGCCGAGAGATCAAGGCTGGTCCTAAATATAAAATTGAATCACATGGCAAAATATATAAACTGACAGTGGTGAAGATGATGAAAGATGATGAAGGCGAATATGTATTTTATGCTGGAGAGAAGAAAACATCTGGAAAGCTTATAGTAGCAGGTTAGTAGGGTTAAAGTCCAAGATTTTTATTTCACTGTGATTTTAAAACAATGCTTAGTGTTCTGTATTTTGTAATTGTAGCAATCATGCTGTTTCTGTACTTTTTTTGTTTTTAATTTATCTTTTTCTGTATTCTGCTTGCTCTTCCCCTTATCCTTTGTGATTGGTATAATTTGAATTCAACAAAGCTTTTAAGTAAGTGCTTATATGTTTTGCTAAATCAAAGCCATAGTATGGAATGCTGTAGTATGCTTTTGATGGAATTAATATAAAAAGGATTTTTTTTTTTTTGTAAAAAGGAAGTTTTTTGTCTTGAATGTTCAGTATACCTATGTTGATAATAAAAAAATAAGTAACCAGGATACAAGTAAGAAATATCTTTTTGTGATGTTGAGGTCACATTCTATTCTTGATTTTACACAGACCTCAGAATGTCTATGGGCGTGCTGCAAATTAGGGCAAAGAATTCCAGCATCAACTTTTCACATGGTTGCATTTGCATATGGGGGAAAAGTTGAACAGCAACACCCCAAAAACACATGCTTTTGCTTCCCAACAGGTGGTGCCATTTCAAAGCCTCTCACTGATCTGACTGTGGCTGAGTCCCAGACAGCTGTTTTTGAATGTGAGGTGGCAAATCCTGAATCAGATGGCCAGTGGCTAAAAAATGGTAGACCATTGCCCATGACAGATCAGTACCGTGCTGAATCTGATGGTGTAAAGAGAAGGCTCAATATCCCTGCCACAAAACTGGATGATATGGGTGAATATAGCTATGAAATAGCAAGCTCAAAGACATCCGCCAAACTGAAGGTCGAAGGTCAGTATTTTTTATAGCTGATGTCTTTAAGTCTCAGTCCAGCATCACTCACTGTGTCTTGGATCAGGCCCTAAGATACAAGCATATTTTGTTTCATTTTCTGAAAACAGTTTTATATTATGATGAGTTTTCTGAGGTGGCAAACTTGCTGTGTTTTGGAGACTCCTTATTTGGAATTTAGCATGATATTTTAATAAAACCACATTTTATTCAAGGTACTGGCTGGCAGGTAGAAATTGACTCTTTGCTAGTTGTGTAGTAAACATATTAAATAAAAAAAAACCCTATTTCTCATGGATGCTGTAAGTAAATATTCCTTTTTGTGTTCCAAGCACACGACTTTGGTGGAAAGTGTATAAAACCATATACACACACACAATTTTAAAATTAAGCACCATGATTCAGTTTTATTAAGATTATTATATTTACTATCATTTTTAATTTTCATCTATTCGGTCAAGTGATTTTTTTTTTTTTTCTCCTAGCTGTTAAAATAAAGAAGACTCTGAAGAACTTGACTGTGACAGAAACACAGGAGGCAGTTTTCAACGTAGAGCTGACCCATCCTGATGTGAAAGGAGCTCTGTGGATTAAAAATGGTGTTGAACTTGAATCGAATGACAAATATGAAATTTCAGTGAAAGGAACTGTTCACACACTGAAAATCAAACATTGTGTTGTCACTGATGAGTCTGTTTATAGCTTTAAGCTTGGAAAGATAGGAGCAAATGCCAGACTTCATGTGGAAAGTAAGTCAATCTGGTTTCAATATTTGCTTTAATGTATAGTTTTGAAATTCAAATCAAACACGCTGCTGAATCTTGCTAACTTTTTTCCTTAAGCTGTCAAGATCATCAAAAAGCCAAAGGATGTGACTGCTTTGGAAAATGCTGTTGTCTCCTTTGAACTGAGTGTGTCCCATGATACTGTACCAGTCCGATGGTTCCACAAAAACGTTGAGCTTAAACAGAGTGATAAATACAAGATGATCTCTCAAAGGAAGGTTCACAAGCTTATGCTGCATAACATATCTCCTGCAGATGCTGGGGAATACACAGCACTTGTTGGGCAAATTGAGTGTAAAGCAAAACTCTTTGTGGAAAGTAAGTATTGTAAGTTTGTAGGAAAGTAATTACATTAGTTGCTAGACAACTCATATTGAACAACTTGACTTGACACTTCATGGCCCGTTTTTGGATTTTTGCAATCTTCCACACAAACTCACTATTAAAAAATCCTGTCTTTTCTTTTGTCTCTTTTTTACTCCCCTTTTAGCCATACACATCACAAAGACCATGAAAAATATTGAGATCCCTGAGACCAAAACTGCTTCTTTTCAATGTGAAGTTTCTCATTTCAATGTGCCTGCTGTCTGGTTGAAAAATGGTGTGGAGATTGAAATGAGTGAAAAGTTCAAAATAGTGGTCCAGGGGAAACTCCATCAGCTCAATATCATGAACACAAGCAGTGAAGATTCTGCAGAATACACCTTTGTCTGTGGAAATGACAGAGTCAGTGCAACTCTGACCGTAAAACGTACGTAAAAAAGATATTAACGAGAATATTTTACAGTTACCAATAATAGAGTTTCTGTTAATACATGCACTCAGTGCAATTCAGACAAACCCAGCACTGTTATAGAGGTATTTTCAAATAATCCTAAACAACCTCAATTACTTTTTAAGAAGAGATCTAGAAGCTGTGGACTTGAAAGTCGAATCCTGGATTCTTCTGTTTAGGCCATCATGCTAAACGCCAAGTCACCATAGGAGGCAGAATTAGAATTCCTATGTTATTCAGAAGTTTTGGAAAATTTAATTGTAGTATTGATTCTGGACACAGAGCTTTCCTTTTAGTATTGCCAAAAATCAGAATTTGTCTTAAAGAATTTTAAACATCTCTGATCTAGTTAACATGTATTTAAAATGAAACAAAACCGAACAAAAAAACCCAACCCATGTCCATTTCTTTTCTTTTAGCCATTCTAATTACCTCCATGCTAAAAGACATTAACGCTGAAGAGAAAGATACAATAACATTTGAAGTTACTGTTAACTATGAAGGTATTTCATATAAATGGCTAAAGAATGGAGTAGAAATAAAATCAACTGATAAATGCCAGATACGAACAAAGAAGCTCACACACTCCCTCTCCATAAGGAATGTGCATTTTGGTGATGCTGCAGAATACACTTTTGTTGCTGGAAAAGCAGCTTCATCAGCCACTTTATATGTGGAAGGTATTTGCCCTCTTGATTTGTATATTCAGTGACTTCTAGTGGCTTAAATAGCATCATGGCACTCATTCTGCTTTCTTTTTGCCCTAGCTCGTCACATTGAATTTAGGAAACATATCAAAGACATCAAGGTTGTGGAGAAGAAGAGGGCTATTTTTGAATGTGAAATTTCAGAACCAGACGTTCAGGTCCAGTGGATGAAGGATGGACAAGAACTTCAGATTGGTGACAGGTAAACGATTGCTTCTACACCGTATTGACTTTTGTTATGTATTTTTCCCTAAAAAATAACTTGCTCATTTTCTCTTCTGATGTCCTTAGGATGAAAATTCAGAGAGAGAAATACGTCCATCGTCTCATCATTCCTTCCACTAAAATGTCTGATGCTGGTCAGTACACTGTGGTAGCAGGTGGAAACACATCCAGTGCCAATTTGATAGTGGAAGGTCGTGACATTCGTATCAGAAGCATTCGTAAAGATATTCAGGTATGGCTTATGCAGAAGAAGAAATATTTCATAACTTTGTCACTCAAAGAATAATACAAAGGAAGAGCAACAATATCTAACCAGCAAGAGTTCTAACACTAAAATCTGTAATCATAAGGTCAGGGCCTTCTAGGAAAATGGAATGTGGGATCATCTGTAAAAATAAATGCTATTTCTAATATTTTTTCTACTTGCTCAAAGGTCATTCAGAGACAAAGAGCTGAAATTGAATTTGAAGTCAATGAAGATGACATTGAACCACAGTGGTACAAGGATGGTATTGAGATCAACTTCCAGTATGAGGAAAGATACAGTTATGTGGTGGAAAGGAGAGTTCATCGAATGACCATCTTTGAAACCACTTACTCTGATGCTGGAGAATATACTTTTGTTGCAGGACGGAACAGGAGTTCTGTTGTTCTCTATGTGAATGGTATGTGTCCCTGCAAATAATGCTTTGACTGTATTTATTACTCTGTGTTTTTCTGATTTCTATATAGCTTTTCTGGAATTCTAACTCTGAAGGAAAAAAAAAATCCAAAGAGAATCTTATGGCTGTAACATTACCAAAATTCTCATGTACATGGATGTTTCTTGCTCTGAAATATCTGGCTAGCTGATGAAAATGCTATAGCAGTTCTTTTCGCCACTGAATTTATTTAGACTAGGAAATTCTAAAGTCCAAATAGTCATATGGACAAATATGCCTTGCCAGAGAGATCAACCTGACAGTTCTTGGACACATTTTTTCCAGAAAACACTTATTGCCAACACAGCTAATTCTGTTAAGGCACTTGCAGCTAGATCGTTTCCACTCTATCAAGGAAAAGGGCAGATTTTCATGGGTATGCAAGATTGGAATAATAAGATTTTAAAAAAAATATAAATTCCTTGCTAATATTTTTGAAGTCTTGATAAATATCAATAATGAGATTTCTCTCTCTCTCTCTTTCTTTCTCCCTTCCCCTTCCTCCACAATTTGCAGCTCCAGAGCCACCCCAGATTATTCAGGAGCTAGAGCCAACCACTGTGGAGTCTGGCAAACCTGCCCGCTTCTGTGCTATGGTATCAGGCAAACCCCAGCCCAAAGTTTCCTGGTACAAAGATGATCAACAGCTTTCTCCAGGTTTCAAGTGCAAATTTCTTCATGATGCACAAGAATATACTCTATTGCTGATTGAAACTTTCCCTGAAGATGCAGCAGTGTACACCTGTGAAGCAAAAAATGACTATGGAGTCGCTACAACTTCAGCTTCACTTTCAGTGGAAAGTGAGTTTCCCGTGCTTATAACAATATGTGTGAAATGAGATTGTCAACACGTGTGTGATCTTCTTAATCTTTAAAAATGATTTTTTTTTCTTATCCTTTAGTCCCAGAAGTTGTTTCTCCTGAGCTAGAAGTGCCAGTCTATCCACCTGCTGTTATAATACCACTACGTGATGCTGTTACATCCGAGGGACAGTCTGCTCGTTTTCAGTGTAGAGTTACAGGGACAGGTGGGTTTAATGAAAACCTGTACATCTTTTCATCTTTCAGAATTTTTGCATCTTGAACTCAGAAAAAATGCAGCAGTATATATTCTGGGATCAGTCTTTCCATAAAAGTACAGTTATTTGAAATACTCACACATTAAAGTGTTACTGACAACTATCAGTTAAGGAAGTCATGTGTCAAAGATAGCATCAAACATGGAAGTCATAAACTCTCACAAACATTACGGATTTCTAAAAAGAAGGTCTATTTAAAAAAAAAATTGTCTTTGGGACCTTCTCAGCATTTCAAATGCTAACTGATGTTGGAAAACTGTGTCAGTGAGTAAAATGTAGTTTCAAAACACAGAGTGTAATAGTGGAAAAGCATTACCATGTTAAATGAACCAAGTTTAATTTAACCACACACAGTGTCATGTCAATTAACTAAACAAACAGACCAAAGCTGTGCCTTAACCTTTATCCTAATATGCCTAAGTATCTCATATCTACAAACAGTAAACTGCAATTCCATTCTTTTTCCTAGCATAAAAAGATGTTTGCTCATTGTCTTTTTAAGTGTAGATTTTCCTTAAATAAGTTTGTTAATTAAAATAATTCTTTCCAAGTTAACACAAAAGCAAATAAAACTACCTTTCTTCACTTCAATAAATGCCATTGAGTATGACTAGTAATAAAATATTCACATGATAAACTGTAGAATAAGATCCACTTCCAATCCCAAATAATTTACAATTATTTTGTAATAATAATAAAGGATAAATAAAGCTCCAAATTTAAAAATAATCCTGAGTGATGGCTGTGTAAAAATCCACATAAAATTGGTAATATACACATATATGCATTATATATGATTTACATTTCCATCACTTGATATCAAACTCTTATTTTTTAAAAAAAAGCTTTACAACAAATTTGATACTGCTTTAGAAGTGGTGCTAAAACTCAGAAAATGTGTCTTGGAAAGACTGGCCTGCCCTCTTTGCAATGCATGCTAGTGTAACCTTTTTTCCAAGAACTGTATTTACTTGAACATGGAAGCTGCATTTACAGCACAGAGCATAAGAATCCTTTCATCTAGGTCCTCTTTCATAGAGTCATAAAATCAGAGAATTGTTTAGGTTGGAAAAGACCTTTAAGATCATGGAGTCCAACCATAAACCTAAGACTGTCAAGTCCACCACTAAACCTTGTCCTGAAGTGCCACATCTGCACATCATTCAAATAACTCCAGGGATGACTCAACCACTTCCCTGGGAAGCCTGTTCTAATGCTATATAACCCTTTTGGTGAAGAAAATTTTCCTATTGAAAATTTCCTTTACTGAATACTGTATCCAAATGGATTTACATACCTCTCATTTGTGTTATGAAAACTTTTTGTACTCTGTTAAGTAACACATGATTGCAAATACAATTGTTTAGCAATACACACTATGCAGCTGGCCATTGAAAACACTATCTCTTTCTTCTGATGACAATAATAGCACACTGTTTGTGTGAAAATATTTGATTCATGTAATACAGTGCCAGGTGGAGAGGCAAGGTTAAAGTCTAGTTCATTCTTCTTCTTTCTGCAAGAATCTATACAAGTCAAGTAACACAACATTTTATATAGGAATTTTGCAAAGGTACAAAGGCAGGATCTTTCTTGAAAAATATGAGGTATAAAACTTACAGTATTTGCAATAAAAAAGTTAAGGTACTGTCCTCAGCAAAAGGATAGTCCATTTTAATTTCTTTAACTTGTTCAGCTGAACCTAGTGATTTTATAGCCTGTTTAATCAGGCTATAATTAAGACAATTGTAGCAGAATCTCTTTTTAAAAATGAGACTTTCTCTGATCTTAGTAGCAGCAAAGTATTTTTAAACTTACACATTAAGAGGGGAAAGGAAATATTATTTTTACCTAGGATTATAGCAGCACTAGAATCAGTTTTCCCATACAAATATTTTCAATGTAGAAATCAGTGCTTAAAGCAACAATTAGGCCACTTTCCACTGATCATACATTACCAAAGTAATACAAGGCACATTTAAACTTAAAAAAGATACTCAAGATTAAGATTTCTGACAGATATAAATATAAAAATAGTGTTTACTTGCTGGTCTAATATCATAACCTATGCATTTTTTCTTTCTGTTGCTTGAGCAGATCTGAAAGTCTCTTGGTACAGCAAAGAGAGAGAGATCAAGCCATCACGTTTTTTTAGAATGACTCAGTTTGAAGACACTTACCAGCTGGAGATTGCTGAAGCTTATCCAGAGGATGAAGGAATCTATACTTTTGTGGCTAGTAATTCTGTAGGCCAAGTGACAAGCACTGCTACCTTGAAGTTAGAAGGTACAGTGTGCAATTAAAGAAAATGTCTTTTTTTAGGACATGTTCCATTACTAATCTTAATATACACTGATGATTATGTGTGAGTCCTTGTCTGTCATATTGTCTTTTAACTCAATTAATTGCTAGCATTTACAATGTCCACTGCATACCTTTATGTCTCCAAAATATTGGTCATGTACAGGAAAACTTATTTCACAATTTTTCAATGTTCCATGCACCTCACCTTTTCATTCTCTCCAGTATTGGAATCTGTCATGCACCAAACATGGTAGAAACTTTCTTTCTAATGGAAGTACCTTGCTTACACATTCTTTGATTTGACTATGAGGACAACCTAGTAAGAGTTTTTGTTTAAAATCAATTACTTTGAAAGTGTTGGAAAACATGTTAAATAGAGGTATGCACCAGGTACTTGGGCAGCTGAAAAGAAACAGTTTACATTCATATGAACAGATGAAACATTGACCAAAGTTTTAGAGCAGAAATATTGTCTGGATAATTTGCTATTTAAGTTCTTATATTGTCCTTGATAGTATTTAACCATAAATATTTTGTTTTCTTTTTGCAACAGATTTTATAAATGATCAATCAGAATAATTTGTGCTGTTAAGTTGCAAGTTAGAAAAAGAAATCTTCAATGAGAGAGAAAATTTATTGTAGTGTAGAGTAAGAAATTAAAAGTTGGCATGCTTCTTTTCAGGATTTAAAAAGGTTGAAGAAGTTACATCAGAGTCCCATTGGCATGTCTCTTCATCTGTTTCACTTAAGGAGGAGTCTATTGGCCAAAGGCCCACCTTTATCCAGCCTATTTCAAGCTGCAGAGTATGCAGCGGGGAATCAGTCAGATTTCAAGCTAGAGTTTCTGGCATGCCCAAACCAAAAATCCGGTGGTTTCATAATCAACAACTCATGTTGCCAACAAAAGACTTAGTTTTCCACTTTGATGAGTCTACAGGCACAGCTATTCTGTTAATAGTAGATGCTTTCTTAGAGCATGCTGGCCAATACTCTTGCAAGGCAAGAAATAGTGCTGGAGAAACAACTTGTACAGCTACACTTACAGTGACTGCGGAAGGTAAAGCCCCATTTTTACTTCAAAGGGATTCAGTTTGTTGTATACCACACTTCTACGCTGTTACTAATGTTCTTCTTTCCTGTTTCACACCTTTTCTTTACCAGCTAATGTTAGTAGTACCTACCCTCTATAACCCAGCCACTCTCATTTCTTCTGTTTAAGCTGTAACATTCAGGAATTTGCAAATTTGTATCTTGATATAAGTTAAAGGATTAGAACCATTTTACTGAAGGCATTCAGGTTTTTAGACCAAGTAATTAAGTGATCTTTATAGGATGACTGAGGTATTTTGCATTATCTTGTAGGAGAAAAAAAAAAAAAAGAAAGAAAATGCCTCCTTAAAAAATTCCATAATAAGTTTCCAATAGTAAAATGGACAACTTCAGTGAAAGGAGACACAAGCATCAGCTGTGTATCAACTGCATGACTAGCTTAGGCATCACTTGTCATTCATATACATGAATGGCTAATCTTTGTGTCAAGAGCGTAGTGCATCCAGCATGCTGAGTTTTCAAATGAAGATCATTCATTTTCATCCTCCATGCTGTTTGATTTTGTTCAGAGCATGGCTCAGTAAAGTTCTTTAGATACTAATATTGTTTTTGTTACTTGATTACACAGTGCAAGCCCTAGATAGGCAAAGTTCTGGGAAAGATGTAAAAGAGTCTGTCCGGTCGCAGGCTATATCGGAACTTCATGTTGCTCCTCTCACAAAGAAGAACATTAAAACTTACCAAAAAGAATTTAAATCAGTGCAACAACCATCACAGGATTTGGGTGTACAGGTTTTTGAAAGCGTATCAGAAAGTTTGACCATGAAGGCTACATCAGTTGAAGAAATGGAAGCCATGCACACAACAATCCTTTCCCAAACATCTCAGAGCACCAGGATCTCTATGGCCACTGCTCGGGAAATGAAAGGTGTCCCTCCAAAGATTCTTGTGCAGCTCAGAGACCTAACTGTGAAATGTGGAGACACTGCTCAATTCATATGTGGCTTACAAAATGAATTCTTCTCTGAGTTTCTTTGGGCCCATGAAGGTGAAACGATAAAAATGTCTGAAAAATTGAAGATATCACAAAATGGAAGTGTCCTACTGCTAACAATCCTAAATGCCCAGCTGACAGATCAAGGACTGTACAGTTGTACCGTATATAATGATTACGGAGGGACAACAACCGCTGCAATACTAACAGTCAAAGGTGGTTATCTGACTTTTAACATTATGACTTACTTTTTGCAACTTCATTATCACTGCCTACAGCTCACTCATATATCCTTTATTATCGGTATTTAATTGAGAATGCTCTTGTAATAATGCTTTGAGGTTTTTCCTCCATATTTACAACTCTATTCATAAGTGGCGTGCAGTACTGGGAAGTTGGTATTGTAACTTCATGCTTTTTCCCAGCAAGTCACAGATGTCTAAGGCATTTTATTCCTCATATCCTTCATGATATGCAGTGAGATGTAAAGCAAAACAGGCTAGTAGGAATTTTTACATTTTGAGAATTCATTCCTTAAGCTGGAGTTTAAGGAGATAAGAATGTCAGATAAGCAATATCGAACTAGATACCTGGTCATTTCAAACTTTATGGGTCCAACTTGCTTCCAATAAATCCAAAGTTCCAGTTCCAAGGTTAACAATATAGATCAATGTACTTGAAAGGATTAATGGATGCAAGTGTTGTATTACTGCGCTAATTAAGTGTCTTCTACCCTTCACTCTTCCTGAAAAATAAGTATTTATTTTTGCTAAGACTCTTTCCACTTCTTCCTAATATCAGTGTATTAAAATGTTAGTAATGTTACCGCTAGTGAAGACCCAAAAATGTATTCTCACCGCACTGGACAGATGATAGTATTTATGTTGAGCTCAAAGGAATCAAGAGCATAAAACTAAGATGAATAATGAGAAAGCCGTTGACCCTGTTGATTTGTCTCTTACGTATTGAAGTTTCTTTCTTCACTCTTGAGCTGTGCAAAGCGCTTTACATAATCTTCTGTTGCTACTTTCTAAATTGAAGCTCTCAGTTAAAAGTAAAGATGTGCTGAATTAGGTGGTACAGACCAAGTCTTGCTTCCATGAAAGTCCCATAGG